TTGATACCCTCTGCTGATCTCGGCGTCCGCCGCTGCCGCCACAGCAGGCGCTCAGCCCGAGGCCAGGCCTTGCCGCCGCCACCGCCGGCCGGCCTAGAGCTCGCCAGCCTCCGCTTCCCTCCCCGCCCCCTCCTTCTACCTCACACGGAAGCCCGCCCTCCGCGTACTCCCCCGGGACACGTTTCTCCAATCAACGAGCGGAGACATTGGCCGTCGCCGGATGTCGCTTTGATTGACAGCAGAGAGAACCCAATGGCTGAGTGCACCTCCTTCTCCCTTTACCGATTTCCCAAGACTGACACGGTCCACGGCCCAATGGGCATGTAGGCCCGCCCCACGGCATGGGCCCACCAATAAAGTGGGGCGAAGGCTCTATCTTCGGGACCCCTCGGCCGTGCGCCCACCGCTCGCCGGCTGCAGGAGGTATTACAGGCTGGGCACGGAGTGAAGTTAATAGGCTGAGCGCTTCCAGTGCATGCTTTGGCGAGGGTATAAGGGCATAGGGCTGGGAATGGGAGGTGGTGTCGCCACCGGTGTACGGGGTCCCCCCCTTGAGGGTTCCCACGGTGACTTGCAAAAGTCCAGTGAGACCTGAGATGCTGAGGTGGGGCACAGAGCATGTGTTTCGCATGGTGGGGACGCTCGTGCCGCCATTTTGGGTGCTGGCAGCGGAAACTGCTCTCCCAGCTTCCGCTCCGTGCGGACTGCGCGTTGGGCTCCTTGCCAGTCAGGGATCCTTACGCCGCCTGTCCCAGGCAAACCCAGCGGACGGCTTGCCACGACGATGGTGGGACGTTGGGGTTAAGAGGGATGTGACATAATTAGTTATTTTTGTCATAACACAAACACCTTCTCCTCTGTCTGTACCAACCTCCCCACACACCCCCTCTGCCCAGCCTCCCACGCAGGTTAGTTTTGCTTTTCAGGAACTTTCCTCAGTTTCTAGTGTTCTCCAGTCTCTTCTAGCCGACATCTTTGTGATTTCCAAACATTGGTTTACCTCCAGCATCACCTTGGGAAGTTGTTGAACTTGCACATTTTGAGGCACCACACCAGAGGTTCTGATTCTTACCCTGGGGTGGCAGCCTGATAACCTTGCCCGTTTATTAAACAACTCGGGTAGTTTTCATACAGCTGGTGCAAAGACCACTTTTAGGCTGTCACTGAGTTGGCGGCGTTTGTAGTAAGTTGTTCCTAGCTGTGGGACAAAAGAGGCGTTGACTCAAATTCTTGACTCCCTGGAAGATCCTGCTAATCTAGTGGGCGAGCCATTGGTCCTTATACAACCAAGGACAAGGCCAGCTGGTAATTTATTTGATGAGAACATCCAGTCATGTGTTTGGAGAATTAGGCGGCTTAATTAATTAGGCGGCTTAATTAATTAGGCGGCTTAATGAGAACATCCAGTCATGTGTTTGGAGAATTAGGCGGCTTAATTCTAGGTGGTTCACAGATTATAATGCACTTTCACCATGCAGGAGTATACTGCGTTGAATCCTCAGAAAACTAGTTACTCATTTCAAAGGCAGATTAAGGGGACTCCCCTGGTGGTGCAGTGGTTAAGAATCCGCCTGCCAATGCAGGGAACACAGGTTTGAGCCCTGGTCGGGGAAGATCCCACATGCCACTACTGAGCCCGAGTGCCACAACTACTGAAGCCCGTGCCCCTAGAGCCCTTGCTCCGCAACAAGAGAAGCTACTGCAATGAGAAGCCTGCGCACAGCAACAAAGAGTAGCCCCTGTTCCCCGCAACTAGAGAGAGCCGTTGCACAGCCAAAAATAAATAATTAACAAAAAAAAAGATGGGTTCAGAGAGCACATGTTTTATTTATTCGTTTTACTATTTGTCACCCAGAAAATGCTAAAACAGAAACCCCATGAGGACTAGAATTTTGTGCATTAACTGTTGAGTCTTCAAAACCTAGGACAGTGCCTGCAATAGCAGATACTTAATACTTGCCGGGAGTTCCCTGGTGGTCTAGTGGTTAGGATTCCAGACTTTCACTGCCCTGGCCTGAGTTCAATCCCTGGTCAGGGAACTGAGATCCCACAAGCCCACGGTATGGCCAAAAATAAATAAATAAATAACATCTCGACTTTATTTATTTATTTTTTTATTTTTATTTTTATTTTTTTTGCGGTACGCGGGCCTCTCACCGTTTTGGCCTCTCCCGTTGCAGAGCACAGGCTCCGGACGCGCAGGCTCAGCGGCCATGGCTCGTGGGCCCAGCCGCTCCGCGGCACGTGGGATCCTCCCGGACCGGGGCACAAACCCGTGTCCCCTGCATCGGCAGGCGGACTCTCAACCACTGCGCCACCAGGGAAGCCCCACATCTCGACTTTAAAAAATAAATAAGGGACTTCCCTGGTGCCGCACTGGTTAAGACTGCACTTCCCATGCGAGGGGCCTGGGTTCAATCCCTGGTCAGGGAACTAGATACCACATGCATGCTGCAGCTAAGAGTTCACATGCCACAACTAAGGAGCTAGTGAGCCACAGCTAAGGAGCCCGCCTGCCACAACTAAGACCCGGTACTACCAAACAAATAAGTAAAATATTTTATGGAAGTTCCCTGGTGGGCTAGTGCTTAGGATTCCACGCTTTCACTGAGGGGGCCAGGGTTCAATCCCTGGTTGGGGAACCATCCCACGTGCCGCCAGAATACAAGAAATAAAATAAAACATTTTTAAAATAAATAAATAAAAAGTACTTGCTGAATAACTGAAGGGGAACTCAAGCAGGCCTGTGATTAAAAGTTCCTGTTAAAAGCAGAAATCAATAATTGGAGGAGGTGTGATTTTGAAGGATATGGCATATTATCTAAAAAAAAATGGATGACCATTCAGCCCCTGAATAAGACCATGAAGGTAAATACTGCTGTTGGATAAGAAAAGAGGAGAAATTAAGGTGTAATCAGTAACTCTAAAAATATATCAAGGGGGTTGAAAAGGAAATATTTTAAAACCATAGCACTAAAAGATATCAAGACGAAAGTTACCAGGCTAAAATACAAGACTATTTTGAGAAGATAGAAGGAGAAATTGCATACTAAGAGTGGCCATCTGTTTGACACAGCAAATAGAGAACAATTTTAAACCTTGACACAGTTCTGAAAAAACAACAACTGGGCAATCGTTTATCTATGGGGAGTCAGGGAACCTTAGCACCAACAAAACTGAGTGTTTTGGACAGTCCATTTGTACTTTACAAGTTTCTTTTGAGCTGCATAGCAGGGTACCAGGTGCCTGGGATGAGAAATAAAGTTATGTGGTACATAT